ATCCAGTGGTAGAGGAGATGGCTATTATTTACTGGTAGGTAAGATAGCTATCATCCATTGGTAGAGGAGATGGCTATTATCTACTGGTAGGTAAGATAGCTATCATCCATTGGTATGTGAGGTGGTTATTATCCAGTGGTAGAGGAGATGGCTATTATCTACTGGTAGGTAAGATAGCTATCATCCATTGGTATGTGAGGTGGCTATCATCCATTGGTAGAGGAGGTGGCTATTATCTACTGGTAGGTAAGATAGCTATCATCCATTGGTATGTGAGGTGGTTATTATCCAGTGGTAGAGGAGATGGCTAATATCTACTGGTTGGTGAGAAAAGGGTGTTATGTACTGGTGGGTATAGTAGCTATTATCCATTGTTAGCTGAGGTGGATTTTATCTACTGGTAAATATCCAGTGGTCGATTAGATGGCTATTGTCTTCTGGTATTTGAGGTGGTTATTATCCACTGATAGGTGAGATGCATATTATCTACTGGTAGGAGAGAAGAGGTTGTTATCCAGTGGCAGGTGAGGTGGATATTGTTTACTGGTAGGTGAGAAGTGGCTATTATCCAGTGGCAGCTGAGGTGGACATTGTCTACTGGTAGGAAAGTCAGCTATTATACATTGGTAGGTGAGATGGTTATTATCCGCTTGTTGGTGAGGTGGCTAATATCTACTGATAGGGAAGGAAGATATTATCCATTTGTAGGTGAGGTGGTTATTATCCACTGGGAGGAAAGGGGTGGATATTATACAGTGCTTGATTAGTTTGCTATTGTCTGCTGATATTCGAGGTGGTTATTATCTACTGGTAGGAGAGAAGTGGTTATTATATAAAGTGGCAGATGTGGTGGATATTATGTACTGGTAGGTTAGGTGGCTATTATCCAGTGGCAGATGAGGTGGAAATTATCTCCTGGTAGGAAAGTCAGCTATTATACATTTGTAGGTGAGCTGGTTATTATCAACTGGTAGGTAAAATAGCTATTTACTGGTAGGAAAGGCAGCTATTATACATTGGTAGGTGAGATGGTTATTATCCACTGTTAGGTGAGATGGCTCATATCTACTGGGAGAAAAGGGAGGATATTATCCAGTACTTGATTACTTGATTGGTTTGCTATTGTCTACTGATATTCGAGGTGGTTATTGACCTACT